GCGCGTTCAGCGCTGGCTGCCAGCCCGCCGCGACGCGCCGCGCCGCAGCGTACCACGGCGCTTGAAGCAACTATCTCACACTGGAGGTATTGCACAGTATCATACAGTGGACTCTCGATAGTTCGAAATTGAAGGGAATCGACTTTTTCTTCGAATTAGCGAGGTTTCGAAATAAAGAGAGTTTGAATTAAAGAGATTCATGCGGAGAAATTTCGAATTAGAGAGGTGCGAATGTAGAGAGGCAAATGGACGGATACACGTCAAAAGGAACCAGAAATATCAGTTTATTATTTTACGGAGGTAAAAATTACACTAAGTTATTATTAAGTAATAATTATTTATATTTAATTTTAAAATTATTAATTACATGTTTACATTTTGACAATCCTATCAGCTCTTTCAGACACCCAGGTACATAAACAGTTGACTTCGAATTGTAGAGGGAATGTACCGTCTTATTTCGACTTATAGAGGGAGGACCATATTTACTTCCCAAAATTCGAATTACAGAGAGAAGCTACCTTGCAATTTCGAATTATAGAGGGCCGCGCCAGCTTAAAAATTTCGAAATAACGAGGGGAAAAAAATACATTGATTTTCTTCGAATTATCGAGAGATTTTCAAGGGAAACGGACTTTCCTTCGAATTAACGAGGTTTTCGAATTATCGAGGTTCGAATTATCGAGAGTCCACTATTAAAAAACAGCTCTCGGCTATAAAAAATCGAGTTTCCCTCGAATTCGTCTAATTTTAATCAAATTTGAATAAACTTACTGACTCAGCTACAGCAGCAAACTTCGTCCTATTTGTATAAAAACGTGACCTATGAAGTAAAAAAATTCCTACAAGTACTTAGCCGGAAGTACTGACGGCACACATATTTGTTAAAATCAGTCAGAATCAGCAGTTCCTTGACGCAAAATGAATAGTCCGTCTGTGCAACATGCGAATACAACAATTGCGGCTTCTAAGGACCCGCTTTTGTCTATCTACCAATTTGAGGGCGAATCAAGAGCTCGCATGAAAATTGGACTGCCGTTGCATTTTCCCGGTGATGTCATCGGGTGATTTTACTGCACAACCACGCTCCCCAGGAGCGTGCTCACAATCAATCGTGTTGACACGGTAGACTCGAGTTAGGTTAGGTTAGGTCACGCAACTAAATCAACTCCGCGGCAATGTGGAGAGGTATCACACGGAGATGAAGGCGCGCCACTGTTAGATCGCGCAGGTTTGAAAGCTGCACGCTGCAATTAACGAAGAGTTTTAAATTTCTCTCCTCCTCTCTTTGGTGCACTGTGATCAAATATGCCTCAGTTCGTGTTTTATCAATTTGTCTAATCTAATATAAATGAACTTATTGATTCAGCTAAAACAGCGAAATTCATCTTATTTGTATAAAAAGGAGACTTATGAGAAGACTTAACCAAAAAGTAAATTGAACATTGATCGGAGAAGGAAATTTACAAGTCCTCTCGTTGTCTCCATTCAATAGTGATTACAATATTTCTTCGTTCGCACTTTTTGACCGCATTTTGATTTCCTCTCGTTTTGGCACCCTTGTCTTGTGATGGCGCCTGCGCTTGGTGCTGCCGCTTCTCGTGTAACACCCTTAATCCGGCTTACCTCAAAACTCTTCTCGTAAATGTACGGTACATAGAGAGGAGTATAGGGTATAGGGTAGATTTGGCTATTTCGATTCGACTATCTCTTAACATTAATTTGTTGGCCCAAATTTTCGAGTTGATTTAGGATCGGAACGAATGTCTCGAACTGGTGAGTAATTGGAGTTAAACCATGTTCGTCAAATTTTGGTTCCGGCTGTAAAATAGATCGTGGCAATGATGTCATGCCATCATTTCTATCCCAAAAATTGTAGAAATCAACTATAAGGAAACTCGAAAATTAGGAAAATTATCCTAAAGCCTCCCAGAAATCGTTCGGATGATTGAAAATCCACAAATTTTATTTCCTACTAAGGGCCTTCTTCACTCCACGTTCGACAAGACAGCAGTAAGTGTTATGTTCCGTTTGCTTGCGTGGTTGCGTTTGCGTTGATTTAGGCGGATTTCCTTTTGATTCCTTGAAGTCCGAATGAATCGAGAGTATTTTTTCTTGTCGATGTTCTTAAGAGCCTGGACTCAAGATCCAAGCGACTTTTCTTCCAGTGTTGGGTACTTACTGCTGTTTTGTCTGAAACGATGTCAATTTTTTAGCATTTGGTGTTTTTTCCTACACTGGAAAAAAAACACATTGGATCTAGAGTCCAGGCTCTTGAAAACATTGACAAGCAAAAGGATTCTTGATTCAATCAGATTTAAGCTTAAATCAAAAGGAAATCCGCTCAAATTAAGAGGCTTTGGTTCTTGATTTAAGCTTAAATCTGATTGAATCAGAGTATTTTTTCTTGTCGATGTTTTTAAGAGTCTGGACTCCAGATCCAATGTGTTTTTTTTCTCCAGTGTCGACGGCATAGTTATTGTATACGTAATACGAACTTTGCTATTTCAGCTAAATCAGTTTACCAATCAGTCAGTCAAGTAAACGCAACGAATTTGAGGGAAATTGATTTTGAAAATTTGGGCGTTGCTGCATGCTCTTTCGAGTGCGAGGAGAGGAGAGGGAGATGGGGAGACAAGTTGGAGGTTGGAGGTTGGCGGGATCCCCGTCAAAACATTGAATCGGCGGCTGCAGATGCGAAGTGCACTGGGGTTGAAACCCCCGGCCCCGGTGGTGGCGGCGGCGGTGGCTTGGCGAGGGCAACGCCCGGGCAGACGTAGTAGGGGAAGCTCCGAGTCGTGGCGCTTTTACTCGAGCCCCGAGGGCGCCGCCAAGCCGCCCCGCAAACCCCGAAAAGCGCCTCCGGCCCGCGGCCGCACCAGCCCCAACTGCCAACCTCGGCTCCACGTGCTTTCCCCTAGTCTGCTCCTGCACCAGAGTGTGCCCCCTTGAAGACCAGCCGGCCCCCTCCCCCTCGGCTCCTCTAGCCTCGCTGCAGTAGCTATTTTGGCTGTACACGTGTACGAGTCACTACGCCCATGCCGCACCGTATCCACCGCCGTGTTTACTACGATACCGCCGCGCCGCCGCCTCCCTATCGCCACCATCCACGGGGTCGCCGGCCTTGTCCCGCCCGACGTGGTCTGGACAGTGCAGGGATGTGAAATGTAATGGGTTTCCCGGGGAGGTTTCATCCAAGAGGAGGTGCCGTTACCACTGGACTGACACGATCAGATCGTGGCACTCCTAACGTATTTTGTAAAGAGATCGCTTTTGAAATTGGAGGAATAAGAAAATGAGGCAAAAGAAGAGGAGGAAGAAGAGGAAAGAGAAAAAGCATAAGAGGAAGAAGGCGACCAATACAGTCAGTCAGGGTAACTTTGTGCCAGGCTCCGAATTCACTATCTTTGTTTGCTGCTTCTTCTTCTTCTTCTTCTTCTTCCTCTTCTTCTTCTTCTTCTTCTTCTTCTTCTTCTTCTGATTTCAGATTGCCAACTTAGGCATATCAATAGAAAGCTTAAATCCTCATCTTTCCTCAGAATTCAACAGTTGGCAGTAGTCATGGAGTAATGGCCTGGCACAAAGTTACCCCCGATATGGCACAAAGTTACCCTGACTAACTGTATAGAATGGAAGAAGAAAAGGAAAAACATCAGCATAAGAATAAGAAGAGGAGGGAGGGAGAGTAATTATAACGAGGGCAGGAGGGACAAGACAAATGGAGGGAGGAGGAAGGAGAAGAGGAAAGAGTAGAGACAGGAGAAAAAGAAAAAGAGGTAGTAGAAGAAGAATAAGAGGGAAAGAAGAAACAGGGAATAAGAAAGACACTAGGAAGAAAAGTGGTATCACTCTCAGATGTCACGATTGTTCGAGGAACGAAGAAATAATTCACCAGACGTCTAATTAGGACGTTCGGTGACTTTACCTACCTCCTATTTTCATTTTTTTGCGAGATAATTTGCTGCTTATCACTTCGAAATCGCTTTGTAAAAAACTTTACATTAGTAATTTGCTGTAATTGTGTATCGATGTAATTAAATTTGTATGCTTAAGGAATATTTAACACACAGAGAAATTAATAAATGACTTTACATTCATATGTTGTAAATTGATTTACAACAAACAGAGTAGCTTACAGAGTAGTTTTTTTTGTGTAGACAAGGCGGGACCTGAATTTTCCCTTTGTTACGCCTGGGTGTTCGGTGCAAGTAGTAATTTTTACTCCGAATTAGTTTTACAGTGCTTTTGTCTGTCACTCATCTTTTCTTCTCTATTTTTCCGCACTCATACCTTTTCAAATTCTGGGCGCATGGGCCCGCAGGATTCGAGGATATTTTTTGAAATTTTACTTGGACTAGAATTAAGGGGCTAAGAGTACAAGGCGCATGAAAGCAATTTTTGAAAAAATTGAGGCGTTAATCATTTTCAGTAAAATTAATCTGAATGCGTATTCTGCGAAAAATTCGCTTCTACATTCCAATTTTTAAGCATCAAAAAGTCAGATTGAACTTTCTCTCCGCCATAAGAATCCATGTCATTTCGAAATTTTAAATACGTTTTCTCGAAATAAAAAAAAAAAAAACTGCACTTATGCGCATTGCCTTCTCAATTTTTTCAAGGTAGAGACTTTTGACGAGAGGCAGAATAGCACCCAAAAGCTACCATGAAATGCTTTGAATTTTGAAAAGCTCTGTCTCCTGGGCCTCCGGCAATTTACGAGNGGGGGGGGGGTGTGTTGAGCAAAGATGCCCTTGGAGGAAAACAGTGTAGGTAACTTCTTGAGCGCAACCACAAGAATCGTGCAATTATAAATGGCTTGAATCCGAGTTCAGTGGCCTTCACTCACACAAGCGCAAGCTGACTGAATTATTTTGAAATAGTGAGGAGTGCACATTGGTGGGGATAGACGTTGATTTCCCCTCCTGCGCTGCTCTTTCCCGCGTGTTTTGTATCATGTCTACGCTCCCCACCACCAGACTAGCTCTCATTTCCCGCTCGTCAGAGAATTCTCCCATCCCCGCCACATGCAGAGGCCGCTGACACCAACAGTTTTTACTGAGGCCTCCAACGGTCAGCACGTAGCCGTCTACGCCCGCGCTCCCAGTCAGACCGTGTTGTTTATTTATGTTCTTGGAAATAGTTTAACTTATTGACTGTGTTTTCTCAAGTGTTATTCTTAACTCCTCGCTTTGTCGTGTTTGCAAAAGTGAATTTGTGGAATCGTTTAAACATTTTGTGTGTTGCTAAACAGTTACGGTACCTCAGATTTCTCTGATAAGACTAATAGAATTCTGGTATGTTCACGAGTTTGAATTTCGACATCATTGACGATGGAAACCCGTTGTCTGAAGACGACTAACTCTTGGAGGAACGGATTAATCATTCACACCTTGAGCAGAGTTTTCAAAATCCAGTCTCCTGATAAAAGTTTGAAGAAAAAGGTGAGTCACACTTGAACTTCTCTGTTACAGTAACTACGTACATCTTCTTGTTAGTTCATTCCCCTTAGTCTATTTTGCACCAGACCTAGACACGTAATCACCAATCCATTCTGTCATATCCACACCTACACTCTTAATCCTTAGATGTTCTCATCATCCGATCATTTGAACACTGATGAGATTGTACGATAAGTCATCAGAGTCTACATCCTCTCTTTTACTCATTGCACCTGAGGAGTCTCGAAACATGAGTGAAGTTCCTGAACCCTCAACTTCCTCCAAGTTTATTAGTCAATCACGTGTTTTGGTTCAATATGCACCGTTTGTTGCCCGTAAAAGCTGTATTTTCCCTCCCTAAATAGGCCAATAATCCTATTAGAAAACCTATGTTGTGGTAGTGAAGCAATGTTATGTATCATCACCATTGAGCCGCGGTTTTTCTTTTAGCCGCCGAGCACTGACAACTGTCTCCGAAAATTCCGAAATGACTTGCCCGGAGTTAAACGATTCAATCACCTTTGGAAACTCTATGTCTGTGTTTTTTTATCGTATTTGTAGCAGAGCTTGGCAGACACTGAGCATTTTTTATGTCTAATTATTTACCTTCCTTCAGTCATTTTTTCAACTTAAATTTTATTAGTCCATCGTTAAAGCGTATCTAAAAGAAAAACAAGTATTCCACTGTCTGCTTACGATGTTGGTGAATGTGGGATGTTTTCATGTACGTTTCAAAACCTAGCGATAGTTGTCTTTTTCCCGTGAGAAAGTCATGGAATTTTCGTTCAGTAGCTAAACCATGACCAAGAGGCACCCTGCCAAGGAGAAAGTGGAAGAAAAATATCAGTGTCTGTTTGTTCTCTAGTAGCATATCGTTCGATGAATGAATCATTGCCAGTTCAAAGTTGTTTCGAAGGAAAATAATGCATCTTGCCCGAGTTGTTAACAGCATTTTTTCTCTCTCTCTCTCGTCGATAACCCGCGATCTTGTCGTTATGAAGAAAGATATTATCGAGCATGTTTGTAGCTGTTTGTTTCCTGATCTGTGACCTTTTAGTTCTCGCTCGGATCTTAAACTTTAGCCTTGCTGATTTGTTTTGATGTTTTCTGATCTTGTCGTTAATCGAGGTCTTCCATGCGCCGGACAGAGAGAGTTATTTACTTTAGCTCGATCAAGCGCGAGGATACGGTCACGGCTTCATTCGTGGTCTGGAACTCAAATAAACACCGAGGAAAAGTTGGCCGTTCGTCGAGGGGAATTTCCGCGTAATTTCGACTGGCCACCTAATATCCCTATTTCATAGTAACCTGATGAGACTTCAGGATTCAGCATCGTTTTAGTTGACTGTGTTATGTTCCTAAAGTATTGATGGTTCCGAAGTGCTTACTTAATTATTTATTGTATAAAGACTTTTGTACACTACGCCATTTTAACTGAACTGAAACTTAAACAGAAAGCCGATCAGCCATCATTTCAGGGTTCAATCCAGTATTCAATGGATTTTCATCTCATGTCGTTTATCCGAGGAATCGCTAATCAACGGTGACTGTGTAATAAGTCTGCAATCGCACAACTCGGTTTGCGAAGTCGCAGACTTCCTGTCATACTTTATTTTTCGAACGGAAAACTACTCAACGGCAATTCTTTGAATCTGTCGTGATTTTTCTTCTCTGTGCAAAGAAGATTCTATAAAAACTTCAAGGAATGATGTCAATTTGTTCTTTCTTATAAAATAACATAGAGGCGGAGATTTTCAGACACCGCAAACGAGATATGTGACTGCGGACCTAAGCCATCGTAATGCGTAATTTATCAAAGAAAGCGCAATTATTTTCATGCTTTATCAGCGTGAAATAAATGTATACCCTTGTCTCAGCTCTGTTTTTTTCCGACCGAAGAAGTATGATGCAATCGGTTGTTTTCATTGGAAACCGGACAAGACTCATCTATATAGTTCCTAAAAGACACAGTAGACGCACTCCGGACATTGGTTACGTACGTTCGTCCTAATATCGACACCTTCCGGCCAAAGTACATATCACAAACGCCATGCGACGTTTCAAAATTTCCGTCGCCATCGTATTTATTACAGAGAAATTGCTAGTTGAATTGGTTTGAAAAATTCACCATATTTTATCTGAACCTATCGCAAAGAAAATTCAGTAAAATTTTCGGACAGCTTCGTCGAACAATTTCTCTGTATAAAAGCAAAATGGCGGCAGAAATTTTGAAACGTCGCATGGCGCTTGTGATACTTAGGTGATGATATAATCGAGGAGAGAGGCACTCTTGAGATACTTGCAGTACCTATTGGGATCTTCGAAATCCATTCGAATAATATTTTAGTTACCAAAATTTGGATTTGTCGACGTTTATTTACTTCCGGTTTAGATTTCCTCTCATTTTCGATCGGTTCGGCAAGAAGGCTAGACAGCGCTGCGGCATTCATCGGTATTTATAGACGGTTACTGGCGGGACACAGTGGAGGAGGGAGGCAGGGGGTCCAGTGACCTGTTTCTGCGGTCCCGGCCCCTCACGTTGTGTTTGGGTTAGGTTTGTGCTTAGAGCTTTGACCACTGTTGCTCAACTGTGCTGGAAATTTAGAGAGCTTCAACTGCAAATTCGTCGTTTTCAGACGTTAAACATGGCCACAGTTCTACGTTGCAAAATTTCCACTCTTTTTGGGACCAAGAAACTGTCTGGCACCCTAACTGAAAATATTAAAGATCCCTTTCGCGATTACGCGTGATACGCAGAGAAATTTTGGAAAGAAATGTTATGGTCGTGGTCTTGTTTAAAATTGAATTTTAATGTCAATCTCGCAACCTTGGATGGAGTTGGAATCTGGGAAAGTGCAAGCTGTTTCTTGGTAGTTTATGCATCCTCGGGGAGAGAAAGAGATTGACCAGATTGTGGGTACTACGCTACTTCGATGGAGAATTTTCTCTAAAAAAAATTGGATCCTGTGCCTAACACAGAAAGCGCGGTTCACATCGTCGTAAAATTGAAGTGGAAAAATTCAATTTTTTACTCTTTGTAATTCGATTTTGCCGCCCCAGTAAATCATTCCAAAATGACTAAAACTATGTCAGCAGGCTTAATTTTCTTGAGGTTTTTGGCAAATCTTTAGCTGGGAAGTCGCCTGTAAAATCTCGAGGCAGCAGTGTGATTCTCAAGCGCCGCGCTGCATTGTGGGAGGGAGGTCTTCTCACAATTAGACTTATGCAATATGGACCTTGACATCGTCCGCTTGGCACACTGTCTTAAATCTTCGATGTTCTTCATTGCGCCAGTGTACTTATTTGTTTTCTCACCGCCCTAACCTCCAAACTTTGACCTAAAATTCGGAATTAATTGAGTCAAGGGGTATTTTAGTTCTGTTCCGATGACATTTATTGCTTTTGCTTATTCGATTCCTTGCCATTCTCTATTCAACAACGTGCGACAAAGTGTTATTTTAATGGTATGAATTTTGAAATCCATCGAAACTCACCTACCGGCCCATCGGACCAATTCTTTCTCTAGTCTAGTAATACCCTCAGGGCGGCTCATATCAATGCCGAGTTGTTATCAGCATTTTAACGCACCCTTTGAGGGAGCGAAATCTGCGTGGATAATACTTGCACAATCCAAATTTTGCGTTGACTAGATCTTCCTGGATCCAGACCTTTGCAATGGAAGTAGAACTGACTTGGTCCCAGCAGAAATTTCTTGAATTTGTCGCCACGAAGACATCTCTCTTAACACTAGCAAAAACGAGCTTTTATCGCGAAAAAGTCGCTTTCTTAAGGCCAAAACTCTCTTGGTTCAAGCGACTTTCTCCTTGGCTCGAAAGGAAATTTCCGTCATTTTTGTTCCATCTGGGTCATCACCGTCAAGGTAAAACGGATCCTGGAAAGGTTGATTAAATGGTAGAAAAATGGTATTTCTGTCCGTAGGAGCCTCTTGTTTAGCCATCGCGGTAACGAAATATCCACTACTAACGTCCCGAAGAAGACAGGTGCCCTCGTAAAAGTCGCTTTAAAAATAAGTACTGATCCCTGAAACGAGATGAATTGGCTAACGGGGGTGAGCGACCCAATTTTAAGTCGGGCATGGCGGGGGCTGCAGTTTTTACGACTGGAGTTTGTAGGACGCCGTGGCCGAGAGGGCGGGGTTGAAGGGTGCGAATGTGCGAAAAATCAATGTTTTCCCTCTCTCTGATAGGTCGCGGCGCAGCCGAGCAGAGCGGCGCGGCAGTGGCGGAGCCTGAAAGTAGGTCACTGCGTTCACCGCCATACATCATTACGTCCTGCCGACCGTCAGTGACTCTACATCCACGTGTCCCAGTTTCCGTAAAATCAATTGACTCTTGCGCCCTCTTCCTCTTTGCGCCCCCCCCCTCCTCCGCCCCCGGAGCCCACCAACCCCCGTCCGAGGTGAGGGTGGGGCTCTCGTAATATCTCAACCTTGCAGCGGGGGCGTCGGATGCACCGGCTGAAACAGGGTGGAAAATTCGCGGTTTTAACGGAAATTTGCGTGAAAGTATACCGCGAACATAATTTTTGATAGTGTTAGTATGTAGTGGGTCAGGGGCCGTTAATAAACTACGATAGGCACCTAAAAAGCAGAAGGAGGAAGTCCAGAGGTGTTTTACGGGGAGAGAGGGTGGCCAAGCAGTGCCTTGCGTGAGGCATTCCTGTTAGAAAGGAGCAAACTTCGGAGATGAATTTCTCCTGAAAAGAGTCCAGAGTAATTTGTTCGTTCTTTTTTTACTTTTTCCCTCTTTGAAGCACCTGTCCTCGTTACGGAGAAGAGATGGAGGGTCCAAAAGTAAAAGTGCGTTTTATGGACCCCAAAGCTATTATTTTTTTACATTAAATGAAAATAAAATGTAAATAATTTTGAAAGTTTCGCTTAAGTGCACACCTCAAAACTTCCGTCTTTATGATTCAGCATCTCCCATTTTAATGGCTGTATTTTTATAGGTAAGGACCTCGAACCTTCGCGGTTTAAATTCTAC